TCCCCCTCCCCCTCCTCCTAAGCATTGCTCGTATGTGCTGCATTTGATGTCTTTGAAGAGATGGATGGATTCTCTTTTATTTTATAGGTAATAAAGGATCTACTCGTCTCTCGCAAATGGTTTTTTTTCATCTCTAATTTCAGGATCTTAAGCCTGCAAACTTGCTGATTAGTTCTACAGGACATCTGAAAATTGCTGACTTTGGGCTGGCTAGGGTGTTTCAGAATAAAGGAGACAGACAGTACAGTCATCAAGTCGCCACACGGCAAGTTTAACATCATTTTGTTCTTTTTTCTCGTGTGGATCACATGGGTGTCATTGTTAAGCCGTAACCCTTACAATACATATGTGTACCTAATACCAATGGTATGCCATGCATATGATATTGTCAGTGGTATTGAGAGGGATTAACTAACTCTTTGATTCCAGATCGCCACTTAGTGACGTTTTTTGGTTCTGCTTTTCAGAGTATCACTACACTACTTAAGTAACGTTTTGGGGTACCGATTTGTCATCCCCAAGATCTGCAACTGGTCTTTTGCTGCATTTATTACCTATTTCACTCATAGTGTGATTCTCTGTCCAATTACAAATAGTTTGAATGCTCACACAAACAAATCTGTCAATGTTTGATGGAATTATATCAGTTTTAAGGTAACACTCTTTACCGCCTCAAATTGGATGCCTGAAGTTGTGGAACCCCTTGTGTACTGAAAGAGTTAAATATGTAATAAGTGTATGTTTGTTTCAGTTTGGTTTTGTCTTCTCTAAAGTAATTGACACTGTTTGGATAATTCTTTATTGACATACAGTTAACGGGGATGAAGCAGTTTAAGTCATTTTACCATCTCATTCCAAATTAAAGATTTTCGTGATTTGTTCATTTTTGGTATTGCAGATTTTGAATCTTTCATTGGTTTTCATGCAAAATTGCGTTCAGAGCTACTGTAGTGCAGTTAAAAAATCCTGTACAATGAACATCTTGTAGTCCCCACAATTGCTAAAATCAACTGATTTTTTTGGACATACATTGTGGTGGAGGACATCGTCTTGGTACACGATGTTGGACACATCGTTGGTGTCTCAAGCAATCCACTTAAATCCGTTTGGGTACTTTTTACACCAGCAAGAAAACCCCTAGTTTTTGTTGTGTTGTTCTGATCAAGAATCATGAATAGCAAGATTCAAAATTGTAGGCCTTGACCATAGCATTTTGGTGATGTTGAAAGATGCATCTTTGATAGAGCTTTGAATAGAAAATTCTCAAAGTCTGGACTTACTTGGATTGCTTGAGACAACGACGATATGTATTACGACACGGCGGAATTAGGAACTCGTCAAAATTTTGGTAAATGGCGTTATAAAGGTCATATTAAAGTGTGTTCACTTGTCTCGCTTTTGATAAAAAAAATGCCTGTCCATCTTATATTGAAGTCGAGATAGATGCGATCAAAGGAGGTTGGGGCTGCCTGGTTTCAGTGGTAAAATTAGCGAAGTGTCATTTGAAAATGCAAACTTATATTTTTGTGTGACTTTGATCAATGTTTTTCTGTAAAAATTCATGCTACAATGTGTTTATAAAATTTGACTTAAGAGGTATTGAATGAATAAAAGAAATAGTATATGAAAATGACCCACTGGGCAGATAAATGTTGGTTTCTTCAGTTTCATTATTTTGAGGAGTGCCTGGTATCACCGTGAGGACACACATGTGGTGTACTGGGACTGTCACCAAGAAGTAAATGCTTACCATGGTTAATAATGCATAGACTTTGCTGTGGTCTTGATCTGTAATAGATTTGTGACTGTCAGATTTACATTTTGATAAAACGTTTTGACTATTTCATTGGTAATTAGTATTATGAAGCCATCTGTGCTCTTAGGTAAATGTTTGATAAATGATCCATGAACTTTAAAAAATTATGAATTTATTTGTCATTGTTAGATTTATGTTCTGAAAAAAAATCCTTCATCTATCTCATAGGTGGTACAGGGCTCCAGAGTTGCTATATGGTGCAAGAAAGTATGACGAAGGTGTTGATCTGTGGTAAGTTCAAAACAATTTTTTAACACCCAAGACACCGGTGTCTGTGGTGTAGCAGTTAAGTACTCTGCTGTTGCTCTCAGGAGACCAGAGTTTTATACCCAATTGGGGAAAAAATTTAATTAAGTATCGCTGTCTTTCTGATATCCCTTTCAGTCCGGGTTGGCCCTAACTGGCAGGGTCGAAAGCCTGCCTCCTGAATGATCTCTGTGTGGATGGGGGGGGGGGGGGGGGGGGGGGGGTTTGTAAGAAAAGCACTTACATTTAACAATCTTTTAACTCCCAAAATATGTGGGTGCAGAGGTGATCAACTGAGGAAAGAAAGCACTGTTATTTTTATCTCAGGAGTACAATTGCTTGAAAGGGGCAGGCTTGTTGAGTTAGATATTGTATTGTTATAATGATATGTCTATCGTATTATGATAATAGATTATACCTTTTAGGATTTTTTGTCCTGTCCACCTTAGTTTTTTGGCTGTGTTCAAGAATGAAGCATGTGATTTGAAGAAGTGACCTTGTGAAAACTATGGAGTAATAAATTTGTCTTATGAAAAAAGCATGCATTAAAATTTGATCACTGTGCACTTTTACACTGTATGTGTGTGTTTTGATGGAGACTCTGCCAGTTATAATCAGTCTTTAAATGAAGCTTATGACCAATTAGCATAATGACCACATTTCCATCCTGCTTCTAGTCATGAATCATTATTAACTCTTTATATCCGGCAAGCTGCTCCCAGCGGCTCACGGTCGGACAGGCTGTGCTGGTGAGCCGCTGACAGCTCCAGCACATTCCTTTACGTTGTTTTCAACATCAAATTACTTTTCGGCAATTACCAAAAAACAGGTCTTAGTTTAGTTTTAATAGAGGTTTTACGGCGCTCGCAACTGCATAAGGTCATATGAGCGCCAGAAGATTAGAGTTGTTACAAGAGAGTAACAAACATAAAAAAGAAGAAGAGGAGATAAGGACAATAGATGTTTGATAGGAAAGAAGAAGCAAACCACACCAGAGCACCCACAAAACATGTCTCTTTCACCGGGATTTCATTCATTAGATGAAGAACTATCAAAATAGGTTCACTTGTTTTGATTTGACGACCAATTTAGTGACATTTTCTTCATTTATTACCTAAAAAAGGGCCCTGGCATAGTGGGTTTACCCCCCTCGGAGATGGAGATAAAGAGTTAATTACTCATTTGAGATTCATTACATCAATTGATGAATGTGATTTTAAGAACTAATGAAGATGTCTTATTTGATGATTCTGGCAGGTGCTCTGGTGTGGTTTGCTCCTTCATTCCTATCAAACATCTATCATCCTGATCTCTCCTTCTTTTTTTGTATGTTATTTTCTAGTAACACCCTTAATCTTCAGTTCTTATATGACTTAATTGTGTTGAAAGTGCCGACATAAGACTCTTGCAAAAATCACAACTGTTTTTTCTATTCCCCACAGGGCTGTTGGCTGTATATTTGGTGAGCTGCTGAACAATTCTCCAATCTTTCCAGTAAGCACTTTTTCTTGACTGAAAATAATTTTTTTTTTTTAAAATATATATACTGTCACATTTTTTAGTATACACATTTTAAAGCTCAATTAAAAAAAAAAAATCCATGTTACCAATTACTTTCAAATTTTCACACTGAGTACGTGAAATACCCGTCACTGGTGAGTTGTTTTCAGATTTCTGAACGTGCAAGTGGTTTTGTTACTGCATACGTGTTACATGTTTTGTGTTTTTTAATAAAAACTCAAGGCACGGAAATTATTTGTTTAAAAAAGAAGTGCACATCAAAGCTTTGTCATTTTTGCAACATTTCGTCAGTGATAAAATTTGTGTTGTCTAAGTCTAAGTTTCATGATGCCACGCCTAAGAGAAAATGTGCGAAATCAGCTTGTTGGAATGATCTGTAGAAGTGTCTCCTTATTCACTGCTGCAAGACATTTTAATCTAACAAGAAGACCTGTGTACGCAACAATGTATCGTGAGAGATCAACTGAATCACCTAAGGATCGACCCTGTCGACTTGAGAGAAGAAAAACTACTCCAAGAGAGGATCTTTTTATACAGTACCCCTGTCGCATCTACGGAATCGTTTCAAAACGGCAAGACTAACCAGAGATGAGTTGAAAAACATGTGACAACACCAGCCTCAGATTCTTCCTCAACTTGAGATAGCATTGCAGTACAGCGAATGATTGATTCCATGCGGCGACGATATCAGGCCGTCATCAATGCAAGGGGACATCATACCCGCTACTGATCATGCTACTTTTGTAGACCACCCCCACACTTTTGTAATTCGGAAATAAACCTGTTAGGTTAACTTTCGGTATTGTTATTATTTTTTAAGTTTTTTAAATTGATTGAATTAGTATTCCTGAAATTTTTAAGAATATGGGCTCATGGTGAAACTAGCTATTTTCATTTCAACACAGTGTGTACTTAAAAATGTGACAGAGTATATAATAATATATATTATTTGCATTTTGTTCCTATAGAACATTGTGGCTGTGAGTTCCTCTGGCTCAGCCCAACTTTATTTTGTTCAACTTCTTATCTCTGACAAGCTGCTCCCTGTGGCTTGCGATCAGAATCTGCTGGCATTGGCTCTGTCATATTTCCTTTTCGATGATGTGGATATTATATTAATTTTTGGCAATTACCAAAAACAGGTCTCTTACTAAGAGCTCTTTTTTTAATGAGAAACAATCGAAACAGGATCATTTCTTTTGATTTATTGACCAGTTTAATGATGTTTATGTCACTTTCAGCTTTGTACCAAAAGAGGGCTCCAACATAATTGGAACTCCTTCAGATAAAGAGTAAAGGTTGTTCTGCCAAAAAAGTTCAGTTGTAGCAAAATTTTGCTGGTATGCTTATTCTTACATGTGCACTCACTCACTCTCTAAAGTTGTTCCTAGACCTAAACACCTCCTCACATCTATTACACATTGTTTTTGGCTCACTTTCCCCAGAATGTGATGGTGATAAAATGATTTTTTTGGTTCTGAATTGAAAATGTACTGTTATTTTTTCCTTTGAATTTACTTCCACAGGGAGAGACAGATATTGAACAGCTTTGTCTTGTGGTCAAAGTGTTAGGTACCCCAAGTGAAAAAACATGGCCTGTGAGTGTCTGAACAACATTTGCAGAATATTAGGGAAAAGTGGCATTTGTCATAATTTTCAGGTTTTGCTTTTATCTCACTTTTAAGTATAGTTAGGTTTGTTCCATTCTGTCCAAATATATATATATATATATATATATATATATATATATATATATACTATTTTATGAGAAATGGCTGTACTTATGTGCTGTACAAGTGACGTGACATTTTTTAAAAACAGTTGTTGTACTTGGAAAGAATCGGAATAGTCTACAGGGACACAAAAAAGAATGGCAGTAGTTCTCAATATATTTCCTGTAACTGATGCTGTTGTTCTCCTGTCTTCACTTGCTTCCATTCTTTTTTGTTTTTCTTCTTCTGTGACTTTGTGAGACTTGTTTGTGATACCAAAACAAGCATAATATGTTCATGCAATTTCATCAGAGTGGTAGATGCATAGTCAATTCGTGTTTTAAAACAGTATCAGTCATGATGCTCACATACTTTCTAATAAGCTAGCATATGATTGATTCTGTAAGTCTTTTGTAGCACAAAATGAGGTTATGAGAAGAATTGTTTGTATTTATCTTAAAGCGTGGTCTGGAGGCGAGGGTAACTTGAATCAAAATAAGGTTCTTCTTAACTCTTTCCTGACGTATCGCCGATATATCAGCGCGAGTCCACACCCCTTGTCGGCTGTAATAAGGTTCCTCAGTATTGCTTCGTTTTAACACGATCTGTCATTTATAATTACTTTTTATTGCTATTGAAAAACTCACTTTGTCAAAGCGTGGGTTTGGGGAAAAACGAGTGAATTAGTTCTTGCAGTCTTGCATCAACTAAACGATGTAACCGAAATCAGTAAAAATATCATAACTCAAACAAAAATTGGAATATTGCTTTCAAATAAAAAGCTGCACATTCAGAAATGTATGGATTATGCTCTTGGCCTGTATATGATAAGATAGCTATGCTGATTTGCTTTCACAAGTTTGGTGAATGTAATTTTTTCCGTCAAAATTTATTTTTCTCATCACCATCGCCATTTCTAACCCTTCGATTGCATACCTATGTTCATAATTAATCCTTGTTTTATATTGGGATGTATTCCTCATTCAAATTCCTTCAATTTGATATATTATATGTTACATTTTGAGAGATAGTTATGCTTCTATGAAGTTATTTTGTACACCACCTGCATAGCCAAATCGAGCCACAAGTTAATTTTGTTTAGACTCAAAGAAAACTACGTCCGGAAAGAGTTAAAATGTCAGTGGTAATGGAAGTTAAATAAGCTCCCCGATTTATTTTTGAACAGCTTCCACGAGTTCAAGTCCTTTTTGTGAGATTGTGCACATTACTTTCATTGTCTTGATTTTCTTTCCAGGGAATGTCAAAATTGGACCTTCCGGACTACCACAAGATTTCATTTCCTGATAACCCCCCTATCCCCCTGGAGAAGATAGTTCCGGATGCTTCAGAAGAGGCTTTGGATCTTCTCAAACAGTTCTTAGTGTACCCAAGTAAACAGAGAATCTCGGCAAAACAGGTTAGGGTACATTATTATTATAATGAACACTATGTTTTTGTAATTACTGTAAAACGTCATAATAATGTACTTGGTTTAATACATATTCTCAGCTGTAATGTTCACTTTTGAAGTTCCTAGTTCCACTAGTATTTTTACTCTATGAAAGTGATAGCTAATGCATACCATTGTAAAACATTACTGATACTAATCACTATAATCTTCATATTATTTTTTTCTAGGGATTTTAATGATAAAAAATCAATTAACAATGTTATGTACATTGTTGAAATGTCAGAAAGCAATCGTTATAAGGTACTCAGGAATGCGGTGTAGTCAGCTACAGTGAGAGAGCGATTAAAAAAAAAATTAAATACAGTCAAACCTGTGTAAGACGGCCAGCCATTGTCAAGGAGAAAAGTGGCCGTATAAGACAGGTGACCGTCTTAGGCAGGACTGATCAAGATGAAGAAAACAAACCATTCCCATCTGAGACCCCAATTGAAAGTAGCCCCATTGTTGTTGTCTTTGTTGTTGTTGGTGGTGGTGGTGATGGTTTCTATTTCGTTTGTAAATTTTATTTTGTTGCTTATTTTGCACAAGGGTGACAATAAAACGAAATGTATCAGACAAGGAAGACCGAGTGCATTGTTAAAACAAACACATGGGTCGCCACCACTCGGAGAACGAGCAACGTTTCTGTCACAAGTTCATGTTGACGTCCTTTGTTACTTTGTTACAGACTGGGTAAACAGTGACCACTCATCTCACTTACGATTTGTGTATGAGTTCTGGGTGGGGCTTATGGGTTATGAGGGACCACACGCTTACCTCACCAGCAGCTGAAAATTGGTAGCTATTGGTCAACAGCGGGAGGGGCCTACGCAACATAATTGGTTGGAGGGACTTCCTAACAACAATGACAGGTGATTGAATTATGACGGCTCGCCCTCAACGTCAGGGGCCAATGCACAATTTATGACAAAACGTAATGGAGTCACAAAGGTGGCCGTCTAAGACAGGTGTTATTGCTTAGTGTGATAGGGGTTGTGTGTTAAATTATGGTGGCCGCGGCCGCATTGGACAGGTGCCAGTTTTACACAGTTAAATTATATAGAAAAAACGCAAGGGGGGAAATGGAAAGTGGCCGTTTGTACAGGTGGCCGTCTTATAGAGGTGGCCGTCAGGGCAGGTTTGACTGTACTTGTCAGGGCTTCTGAACCTGTTTACCTGATCTTGTGCAGATGGGTCAAGGGATACAACCATCTCATTTCTTTGATATTTTAGTGATTGCTGTTAGCTCCCTTGGAGTAGAGGTCGCTTTTACCAAAATGGGAGGAAAAGTGACTGTTTTATGAAGGATACCCCAATTGCCGTTGCTCAGTATCGATAAGTACTCAGTACTTATTAAGGCTCAAGTGAAAGGACGTAATTTAAGTGCATATGCGTAGTATTTAACGAAGGGGAGTAGAAAACTCGGGTACCCGACACCACTACCCGGGTAGCTGGTTTTGAGCTCTTTACTTGGGTAAAGGACTGCTTGCCCACGTCACACATTCGCTCCCTCCATCACAGCACTGTGACCTCTCCATTCCCGCATCGGAGAAATAAGAGGCATGGCAGGCTAGATAATCTAGACTACTGGCCTATCTGTCGATGCAATCTGCTTGTCTGTGCATTCCACACCCTCCCCACTCATTCGCTCCGGCCTTCATTGTGCACTCTCCCATTCTTTATTTCAATAGTTCACCAACATGTTTCTCAACTGGCGAAGTTTTAGATATTGTATAAATGGCCTATGCGCTGTGTACAGCAGCAGCGATTTTCCGCTATAACCGACTCGCGTGTTTGTCTGATTGCGCTATAGCAGTATTTTATTTACAAAGGTAAAGAAGGGAAAAAACGGGGTTTTAGAAAAACGTCTTTAAAACAGACTTCTCGTTATTTGAGGACTCGTTATAAGTGGACTCCACTGTATGTCCTATTGAATCAGAGGCAAATGAAAAAATTCAGACTCCTGGTCTCTTAGATAATCATTGAGTTAGAAAAAAGGGGGCACAAGGGATGTTGTTAAACCCATTCTGTTTCAGAACCAATCTCTGGAATCAGTATCTCGAGGTTTCCAGATAGGGTTATTGTTTGAAGAAAGACACCACGAGGAATCTTACAATAAAGTCTCATTTTGTTTTGTGATTTTGCTCCCTAGTTTTTGACTGAAAAACCCAAGTGCTTTAGTCATGGCTCTGATTTGGGCAGCCTCTTTTGTTTAAAGGATTTTCTCAACACTTTAGAAAAATGACTTACATACAAGTGGAATGATGCTCTCCTTGATATGGGTCAACTTTTAAACTGGCTTTATTTCTTGTTTTCAGGCACTTCTTCACCAGTACTTTTTCACAGAACCACTCCCAGCACACCACTCAGAGCTGCCAATTCCCCAAAGGACGAGTCGCCGCAGTGGCCTGCAGCTGAAGCATCAGGCCCATGAATACAATGCCGACCTGCCCATTGAAGACTCCCTTATCAACCCTGATCGCCTCGCTCCACATGTTATACGAATGAAGTAATTCGTAATAATAATTCATGCCTGTCACCTTGCTTCTGACAATACAGTTGAAATTGTCCCAGGTGGAAACCTGTTTTTTAAGGGAAAAAATGGTTGTCTTCGACAGATAGACGTCTTGGATAGTGTAAAACGCAAGTGGTTGTTTTAACAGGTGATTGTGTTGGACAGCTGTCCGTTAGAGCAATTTCGACCGTTTACAAATGAATTTACACTGAGCGGGTAGAAGAGGCAGGGCCTAACTTTTGAAAGTCATGGATAATCAAAAGTTTAGATGTCTGATTTGCTGACTGTGATGAAGGGGTGTTTATCAACCTCTGTGATGGCTGTATGGAGTTTTTCTGATTCTCCTTGTGCCTTATTAACCCTCGTCCTGCGGGGGCCGGGTTTATGTCGCCCGATAAGCCTATTTCGGCACCTCGCCTGCGTTCTGGTCCTGAGTCAGTCTGGCCCCTGGCTCAGCGCACGCGCGCCGAGCATCATCTCACGTGAAATTCGGGTCCTGCATCGCATCCCCATTCACGCAGGTCAAGTGTGTGTGCGTCAGTCTGCTTGAGTTTGTGTGCATTTCTGGCCTTCTTCTAGAACTGCCTGCGTTGGTTCGTAATCGAGGCGTACTCTCATTCAAAACATGCCAAGTTGGTAGCTCTAGATGTTCGTCCAATGAAATTATAGAAGAAATTGACCCACTTAATGAGGAGCTCGAAAAGGTAGTCAGGAAACAAGACTTCCTTTTTTCTATACAAAATGTTTCAAATGAGCTTGATTTTGTATGAAATGATACTACCTGATAAAAAAAAAAGCTTGTTTAACTCTTTTTATCCGGGCTACGAGTATACTCGTAACGAGGACCAGTCCGGGCTACGAGTATTCTCGGAACAGCGATACGGTCATGTCAAAGAAGCTAGTTCTGCTTGTAATTACCAAAATACGCAAACACGGCGATGCTAGCTCTGTCTGAATATTTTAATTTTCCAATGAACAGTGGTTTCTTTGTTTTTGATGGGTGTAGAAGCTTGAAAGATGTCTCGAAAACGCACATTCACGACCGACGAAGTACTTTTTGAAGTGGCGCTGGGTTGGGAGGGGAAATGATACTAATTTGATGAAAGTGACTCTGAAATAAGTGCCGTAAATTCTGTTGTGGATGATAAGAAACAGGACTTAGACTCATCTAATAGCGATTCAGGTCATGGTGAAGGGATCAGTAGATCTAGATTTATAAAATCCAACGGGACGTCGTGGGCGCGGCAGTCAGGGTCAAGTTCGAGGGTGGAATACACCTCAAAATCTACATTGTGCTATTTGTGTATTTCCTAACCGTATACATTTACAAAAACTACATGCAATTTCTAACATAACTGCCAAATTTCCTTAAAATCTTAGAATAAATGTAAGAAATAAGGCACTTTGAACTATACGCACTGACTTCCGACTCAAACGCGCGGCGGCCCCAGGACTGGTACAGAGTCCGTGGCGGTACGGCTAGGATAAAAAGAGTTAATAGTTTATTGTGCAGGTTCAAAGAACAATTTGAGTTCAAAACATTCGGAAGTTGACCTATATTATCCCCTTTCGAACCTCAGGTCATTCATAACAACAAGAGCATCTGGAAAGGTTATTCGAATGGCATAACTACTCGTAATGTCTTATCAGCTTGTGAGAGTTATTTATGTGTTTGTAACACTAACACTTTATAAATAGAAAGCTATGAAAGATGGAGCGTTATTTTCATCATCGATTAACACACTCCCACGGCTTTCATGGCGAAAACACACGTTTCCTGGCGCGTGCGCACTGTACACCAACAGTGCACACTGAGTGACCGCGGCGGCCTGCCCGGAGCGTCTGACGTAATCGGTTGCTGATAAGATTCGCATCTCAGCACAGACGCAGGACACGAGTTAAAACAGGCAATAGTGAAAAGGTCCTCTGGATCCTCCTTCTGAACTGACCCACACTGTTGCTAGAGGCTTGGGGGGGGGGGGAGGAAAGAGAGAGAGAGAGAGAGAGAGAGAGAGAGAGAGAGAGAGAGAGAGAGAGAGAGAGAGAGAGAGAGAGAGAGAGAGAGAGAGGGAGGGAGGGAGGGAGGGAGAGAGGGAGGGAGGGAGGGAGGGAGGGGGAGAGAGAGAGAGAGAGAGAGAGAGAGAGAGAGAGAGAAAGAGAGAGAGAGAGATGGCTTTTCTCACCAGTTTGAGTTTGAAATTGTATCTAGACTGTTGGAATGATGCTGTTTCAGACTCAGCTGAGCTTTAAACAGCCATGAATGCACACATTATACATATCATGCGAGACCTGTTTCCCCGTCCATACAGAATAATTTTCTTACAGGAGATGCAAAATTATTGCATCAAAATATTGTTCAATATCTTGATTGAAATCTAAATGTCGCAGTTTGAACGACGTGATCAGTTTTCTTAACCTTTTGAGCCCTGACCTCCTGAGGCTACTGTGTCCCTCTGCCTGAGCTCCTGAGCAGTATATTACTCTGATTTATGTCATCATTAGAATCACATTCCAAATTCTACTCAAGAAAGTCCTCGTCATTACCAGCATCTAATTCAGAAAGATCTTCAAAATACTCAATAACGTCCTGTGCAGCAAACACTGTTTTCCGTGAGCATTTTGTACCAGATGGGCCTGGTTGGGGGTAGGGTCTCACTCACTGGTGTACAGGTGGCTAAGGCTCAAAGGCTTCCCGGGAAGCTGAAAATGTTTCGGAGTGTTCTATGGTCTGCTGGGGTAATAATATAGTGTAAAGCGCATAGAGCCTGCTGCTGAGCGGGGATATGCGCTATACAAATGCTATCTATTATTATTATTAAGTCCATACCATTCTATTTATGATCTTTTTTTGTCTTTATTGTAATTGTTTGTATCACGCAGCATTGTTGAAGTAATTTGTAGCACTCCATTCTTTATAATTCAATTTTAATAATAAACATTAGTATGTCTTGATCTGCTGAGCCTCTGTTTTTCATATGTACTTATAAATGGTTACTGCCAGTAAAAAAAATGTACAAAGACATGAGTTATGTTTTGAGTTAATCCTATTATGCTATTATGTAATTATTCTGAGAATGTTATTTTTGTTTTGTTTTTAGTTTTAGTAGAGGTTTTACGGCGCTTGCAACTGCATAAGGTCATATGAGCGCCAAGGGGTGGATGTCAACAGAGAAGTCCTTACAGGGAATCAGACTTACTCTGCTCACCTCTCTAGCTTCAACAGCACAAAGTCTGCTTCGACTATCAAGGCACCCCGGAAAGTGGGTCACAAGAGTGTGACAAACATACAAAAGAAGTAGAGGAAAAATGACAATAGTAAGGATTAGGAAAGAAAAAGCAGCAGTTCCCTGTTGTAGATCAGGCAGTTTTGAGCATGACATTGATGAATCAGCCCATTTACAATTCAACTGTGCATGAACGAGAAATGTCCCCCCTTTGGGAATGGCCTAAATACACTTCAGTCAGTGCTATTTTTTTTCAATTCAGTTCTCTTGAATGATGCAAAATGGGTACCTGGCATTTGAGGTGTATTGGTTAGGCTCTAAATAAATGGTTTCAATTCCTGAGGCGATGTAGCAGCTTTTGCTAGGACAAAGAAAATAGAAAAACAGGAATAGGACTGCAGAAAATTATACAACAGGAAAGAGGTCACACAGAATTTATGATGGCAAGAAAGGAAAAAATACCAATGTGAGAGAGAGAGAGAGAGAGAGAGAGAGAGAGAGAGAGAGAGAGAGAGAGAGAGAGAGATTTACGTTTTCCACTTTTTTCTCTCATTATATTGAAGAGATGCAAAATTAACATCTTCACCCCCCCCCCCCCCCCCAACAAAACAAACCCCAAAACAAACGATAAAAACGTCAATAGATCGGGAAAAAAAAAATCATTTGAGAGAAGCCTTAAAACAAAATGAAACACAATCTCACTCAATGATTGGGTAATATAATATTTAATGGTATAACAAAAATGTAACTGAATGGCAGCTTCCAACAGGAACTAGATCTACGTTCATCAAAGCAAAAAAGCTAACATTAACAAATCAACAGTGCTCCATAAGGGAGGGTGACAGAATGAAATCGTGTTGTTTAAACTGACACATCAGGATTTTCATTTGTCCTCCTCACTGCTTTTGTGAAAGTTACAACAGCAGCTGAACCTAGCATGACCACCAAGGGATAGGGGTTAGGACAGAGATCCTGAAAACCTTTTTGAGTCCCACATCAAAAGAGGACTTCATGATCTCAACTACGGTCTCCCATCCCTTACCATTCCCAGTATGTTATAATATGGGCTGAACAGTTTTTACAACTTAGTAAATTTATTTAAGCGGCGAGAATTTAGAATGTCAGTCACCGATACAATCAAACCAGTACGGAAGAAAGTCTTAAAAACTCCCCAAACAACAATTTCAAAAATGGATTTCAACCAGCATCACCTGCACCACAGCCCAGCATTATACTAACAGAACTAGCAGCCCCTCTGTATCCATCTCCTCAGAGGCTAAAACAGTGAGACTACCAACAATATGTGAGGCATTGGGATGAAATCGGGCACTCTTCAAAATAAAGAACTCAAAGAAACCGTCGTATTTTCTGCCTGTTTGTCAATTTTTATCGAATTTTTGTAGCACAATACCTGTTTCTGTTATGTCAATTTAAAAATCATTTCTGTGCAGATGTTACTGAAAAATGTTGATTAAAGGCACAGAAAATGTACATCTCTGATGTCCACGGACTCTCAAGTTATGGAAATGACCAAAGTTTGGTGGTAATTTTCTCGCTAATTTTACTCCTGAAACTAGGCGGCTCCTACCTCCTTCAATTGCAAATATCTCGACTTCTATTCTATTACAGACAGTTGGCTGTTTTTTTTCATCTAAAGCCAGCCAAAAGAACAAACTTTATTAACCCTTCCACCCCAATGTGTGTATATTTTCAGCAATGCTAGTACCTCCCACCATCCCAAGAGCGTATATTCTTAGTTTTGAGGGGTACCGAATTTGCCCATTTTTCGAAATGGCAGCAAACCTAATTAAACTTTAATTTTCATAATATTTGTCTACTTACCTTTAAACACTATCATCATAC